ACGAGCCGGCTCTGCAAGCCCAGACATAAGCACAGGCTGTGTCCTCTAAACTTGTCCGTGGCTGTTGGTGCAACACTTGTGCCTCGGGCTAGGGACACGGGCAGCCCCTCCAGCCTGTCTCAGCAGACATTTTGATGCTGTGCCTATGCCTGTGGCAGCGTTCGTGTGCCCAGTGCTGCTGGACATGTGCAGCCCCAACAGCAAGGGACGCAGCGGAGTGAGGAAAATAACCCCCAAAATAGCATCAGGTTTAACGTGAATAAAGCAGAAATCTTCTGAAAACCCAGTGCGATGTCAGAGTCTGGTCTGTGCTCCAAATGGCTTTTGTCTGTGCTTTGTAGCTTCTGGTCATGTGCTGCAACAATCCTCTAAACCTTCTCACTCTGAAAACCAGACAAACAAAGGCCCTCTCTGCACTACCAGGGAACGGATTTATTTCTCTCTGTGTCTTTACAGTTCCTCAGGCACAATGGGGACCTCTATTTGGGCTCATTTCCTGAGACATGAGGGTAATACCAAATCTCTGTTGCCCTCATGCATCCACACAGTTGTGCCACCCATTGGGACCATCGGTGGGAGCTGGAGTGAGGTGAGGGCAGAGCCCACTCCTCCCTGTGTGCAGAGGGCAGGCATGGCTCTGCCTCCTCCCCACACATGGAGCCAGAGACCCTGCCTGTGCTGGCAGCTGGATATCTCAGCCTTGTGAAGTTTGGATACTCCATATCACATATTCCAGGCTATTTCAGAAAATGCTTTTTCAGAAAAATGCTATTTCAGAAAATGCAATTTCAGAAAAACCAGAAGAGGTATTCATTTTTGATAGTGGCATCAATGTTCTCCATCAACTGGTTTTGTACATCTTTGGAGTTTGTGTTTCAGATGAGGAGCTGGAGGCTCCACCAGTGACACAACTCACCTGTCGGACTCTTGTTTGTGCCCCCACACAGGGATGTGACCCCTGGTGCTGGGCTCCTGCAGAGGGGAAGCAAGAGGAATTGAGCAAACTGGGGAGAGCATGAGGGCAGTAGATTTTGGCTCTAAGAGTGCTCCTCTGGGCTCAGTTCTGATGTGCCCATGGGCCCCTCTTGGATTCTCACTATAGGACATGAAAAAACACAAGCTCACACCGCTGCTCTCAAGGTGAAGGAAAAAGGGAAGTGTATTTTCTGACTCCAACATTTATCGTTTTCCAAGAGTGACAGTGGATTGGAGGGTGGCAGTGCCACCTCTTCAATGACACTGGACAAACCAACAGTCCATCAACTTTCTCTTCTTCCATAAAGGAATGCAAAACAATGAGTTATTTACAGAAAGTGTGTGAGAAAGCTCACTACAAGAATGTCAACACCAGAAGGCTTAGAAAATCTTAAAAAATCAGGGTGACAGGTTGATCCTCTGTATGAGTGGCCCAGGATCCACAGAGCAGGGCACACAGGGGGCAGAAGGGAGGTTGTAGGACTGTCATACCTGCACAAATCAACAGGGGGCAGAAGGGAGGTTGTAGGACTGTCATACCTGCACAAATCAGGCATGTAAAAGTCCTGGGATTTCTTGCCCCTCAGTGCTGCCAGAGGGCAAGGCTCCCTCTCACCCAGCTCCTTCCTGTTTGGCAAGGTCTGTTGGGGGATTGGCAACAGGTCCTGTGGTCTTGCTGGAGTTTGGGAGGTGACCCATGCCTCATTACCTCTGCTGGGATCCAGCATGTGACCCAGCACAGCCTCCGGCAAACAGAGCACTTTGTTCTGACCCTTTGCACCTCCCTGCCAGCGAGCTGCCCTCTAATCCCCCCAAGGAGGGATTTTCCTCTCCCACCCCAGCTCCCTGTGCCTTGGTCCCCTCAGAGAGAGAGGTCCAGGGTAATAATTTACTGCCTGCCACAAGCCACTCCTTCGGACTTTTTCTTCGACCTTCAGACTGCATTGCCAAAATAAAAACAGCGGGAGGGAGAGAGGCACAGGCTGCTCCCACGGCGAGAGTGTGGCAGTGCCCGCTGGATCCAGGAGCCCTGCCTGCAGGTAATGCCCCTTTGCTTTCTCTGGGAGGATTGAGACTTTCCCTTCTTTAAATGACTTTCTGAAGCCCTTTGGGAGCAGCAGAGGGGTGTGAAGGATTCATCCCTTGCTGCCAGGAACCTGGCTGGCCTGTGGAAGAGCTGCTCCCCAGGGCCAGCAGCTGCAAGGGGAGGGGGGTTCAGTTCCAGCAGTTGTTGGGGTGGTTTCACAGATGTGGAAGAGTCCAGAGAGGAGATGAGCAGCCTCCTTTCCTTCCTCTGGGAAATTTTCTGGCTTTAGCTCTGCCTCCCCCAGCAAACTTCCATCAAAGGAACTCCCATCACCCTGCTTGTCCCTGCAGTCCCACAGCAGCTCAGCTGGGTGGGCTCCTGCAGGCAGCACTCATGAGTGCTCCTGATCTGGGTAATTTCAGAAGCTGGAGATCAGCAGACACCAACTGTGTGTCCCCATGGTCCTGACACACACGGAAAAGAGCCTTGGGCTCCACTGGGATTTGCAATCAGAGCTGGAAGGGTGAAGTTTACACCAGAAATTTCAGGTTGTGTTGGCTCCTGTGGTCCCTGAGCTATGAGAGTCTCTGAGGCTGGGCCTGGTGAAGC